TCTCTCCCTTTCCTCCTTCCCCTCCCTCTCTCCCTTTCCTCCTTCCCCTCCCTCTCTCCCTTTCCTCCTTCCCCTCCCTCTCTCCCTTTCCTCCTTCCCCTCCCTCTCTCCCTTTCCTCCTTCCCCTCCCTCTCTCCCTTTCCTCCTTCCCCTCCCTCTCTCCCTTTCCCTCCTTCCCCTCCCTCTCTCCCTTTCCTCCTTCCCCTCCCTCTCTCCCTTTCCCTCCTTCCCCTCCCTCTCTCCCTTTCCTCCTTCCCCTCCCTCTCTCCCTTTCCTCCTTCCCCTCCCTCTCTCCCTTTCCTCCTTCCCCTCCCTCTCTCCCTTTCCTCCTTCCCCTCCCTCTCTCCCTTTCCTCCTTCCCCTCCCTCTCTCCCTTTCCTCCTTCCCCTCCCTCTCTCCCTTTCCTCCTTCCCCTCCCTCTCTCCCTTTCCTCCTTCCCCTCCCTCTCTCCCTTTCCTCCTTCCCCTCCCTCTCTCCCTTTCCTCCTTCCCCTCCCTCTCTCCCTTTCCTCCTTCCCCTCCCTCTCTCCCTTTCCTCCTTCCCCTCCCTCTCTCCCTTTCCTCCTTCCCCTCCCTCTCTCCCTTTCCCTCCTTCCCCTCCCTCTCTCCCTTTCCTCCTTCCCCTCCCTCTCTCCCTTTCCTCCTTCCCCTCCCTCTCTCCCTTTCCTCCTTCCCCTCCCTCTCTCCCTTTCCTCCTTCCCCTCCCTCTCTCCCTTTCCCTCCTTCCCCTCCCTCTCTCCCTTTCCTCCTTCCCCTCCCTCTCTCCCTTTCCCTCCTTCCCCTCCCTCTCTCCCTTTCCCTCCTTCCCCTCCCTCTCTCCCTTTCCCTCCTTCCCCTCCCTCTCTCCCTTTCCCTCCTTCCCCTCCCTCTCTCCCTTTCCTCCTTCCCCTCCCTCTCTCCCTTTCCTCCTTCCCCTCCCTCTCTCCCTTCCCACCCCTCCCTCTCTCCCTTTCCTCCTTCCCCTCCCTCTCTCCCTTTCCTCCTTCCCCTCCCTCTCTCCCTTTCCCTCCTTCCCCTCCCTCTCTCCCTTTCCTCCTTCCCCTCCCTCTCT